GTTCTGCCGGAGGGGGGGGCAGGCGCTTTATTTCAAAGCGACGCTAACTTTTGAAGCATCGGTAAGGCGGCGATGGGAGGTGCAGCCGTCCCGAGGACTGCCGCCCCGAAGCTGGCTGGCTTTTCTCGGTGCCGTGCTCAAGCGAAGAAGAGGGGTTTGGTTTCCCTCTGCTCAATAAGTGAATTGTCAGGTTGGGACTGGGGGGAGTGCAGCCAGCTTCACCTCTGTAATTCTTCGTAGAAGATGTATGAAGCAAGACTTCTGAAGTTAATTTTCATAGTTTATTTAGTTTCACACGGCTATCCCAGAAAACTGGAGCCAGATTTTCAAAACTATTCAGGCATCTAACTGTATTAAGTGTCTGTAAACCCTGCTTGTTGTCTAGTTCCAGCCAAAACAGTGAGCGGTAGGCATCTCTTCGGCCAGTTCAAAAAGCCAGCTGTTTCTATCTTTTCACGTTCCAGTTGTCTTCCTCATTAGTGACAATGTGCACTTTTTTGCCAGTTTTTTTTTTTCACCCTAACCTTTCTCCATGATTTTTTTCTTCTTTGTCCCCCCTCTGCCCCTGTGGATCCAAGAAACGGCCAGACGGGTGTTTCCTCCCAGGCTTTAAGGTGCTCCTGGGGCCCATCGCTGCCCAGCCCTGTCGCTGGTGTTGCTCATCTCTGCTGGGCCGGGAGGGTGCTGGGGCAGTGGAGTTGTCTCCGAGGGCTGGTGCCCGTTCCGCTGCTGTCCCATCGACCGGGAGACCCGCGGCTTGGCCGGGGGCTGCCTGGGCCTGCAGTGGGGATGCTCAGGCAGCACCCTCCTTTCTGACTCGAAGCGGAACGGGGAGGGCAGAGAGGAGGCATTTTGTTGATATGTTTTAACTCATGAGTAGGGTAGCTGCCCTCGTCTCCTCGCTCCCACCTACCCCAGAAATGATCATCTCTAATGATCGGACTTGTCTGTGGCGAAAGGTGAGCCTGCGGATGGGCCCACCCACCCCCAAGGTCGCACAGGGATGGGATCTCTGCTCCCTCTCGTCGCCTTAAAAGAGGCTAAAATCTTTGAGTAGGCCGGTTTCATAGCCCATTGGCACGGTAGTGCTGGCTCAGGGAGAGAAATGGGAGGAAAAGCAGTCTGGCTTCTGGGTGCCGCCTGGCACTGCATTTTCAGCATCTCTTTAGGGCCGCGATGGAGCGGGAGCACATCCCGCCTGTCTCTCCAGGATCTCTCCCTGGCTAGAGATCTCAGCTTCCACGAGTCTCTTGCCGTGCTGGGAGGAGAGCCTCTCCCCGTGGGGCCGGTGGGCCAGGAGGTCTCCCCACTTTGAATGTTGCGCAGAAC